CCGGCCCCCGGGGAGGGGGCGGGAGGGACGGCGCGTGCTGCTCTCCTTGCGGCCGGTGACAAACCGAGGCAATCAGGACATTTGGGAACAGAGTGGGATGAGATCAGGTCCCCCAAGGAAGGGCACTGGAATTGTGCTCCCTGGGGTGCGGGCTCAGAGAGAGGGCCGAGGGGCGGCGTCAGGAAGGCAGACGGACTGACTGACGTTCCCAGAACGTACTGGAGACCCTCGGAGCTGGTGGACCGGCCCGCGCTGCGCCTCGTCGGGGCGCCCTGGCGTCGCGGGGGCACCAAGCACAGCCCTGGGCTCCGGGTTCCCTGCGGAACCGTCTAACGCGTCAGGCGCACGGCGGGCGCTCCGTCCATGGTTAAAGGAGGGAATGACTGAAACTTTCCGGGGACCTTAAAACCTCGGGATGAGCTTTCCCCCTTTTCTTTAGTGGGACCCGCTTTTACCCAGCTTCCCAGGCATCTTCCCAGTTGGCGTCCGCTGCCTCAAGCGCGCTGCCCGAGGTGTCGCGGGGGGTGTTTGACGGGGCGGGTGTGGTGTCGGCACGCCAGGGTTGTAGTGTCCAGGGAGGGACGAGGGGCGCCGCACCCAGGGCGTCTGGGACTTGGGGCTCGCCCGCCCTCTGGGCTGGAGGGGGCCGAGAGCCAACGGTGGAGGCGGGGCCGTCGATTGAGACCCGCTCGCTCGGCCGCTTCCCAGCTCGACGGAATACTGGCGAGAGGCAAGTTACTTACCTTGCCTAAGGACTCAGTTTCCCCATTCGGAAAACAGGGACAGAGGGAATGAGCCGTGCATCGGGTTCCGAAGTCACGTAAATGAAATAATGGACGGGCACATTTAGCCTTGTGCCTGGCACCTAGCAAGCCCTGAAAACGTGTCACTAATAATCTGTCTCCCATCTTCCTTCCTGTTTGTCTGTCATTTACCCCTCACACATCTGTTTGTCCATCCGTCTTTGTATCTATCCCTCCTGGTCCTAGAGGGAGACCACAAACAGCACCGGAGCGCACACCTAGAGAAACGGTCTCAGGTCTTTCCGAGCCAGCAGCGCCCTCCGCGGAGGACTGACCACGGCTTCAGCCTTCGAGGGGACCAGCAGCCCCAGGGCTCCCCCGAAGCTAGGGTTGCCCTGCATCTCCCGCTTCGGTCGCTAGAGGGCAGCGCTCCCCTGCGTAGGTCTGGGTGCGCCCGGGAAGGGGGTCTCAGGTAGGAGCACCCGAGGAGCACCGGGGTGGCCGCGGGGCCCCACCGCCTGCCTGCGGGCAGGGCCCTCCTTGCAGGAGGCCGGGAAAGCGCTGCGCGGGGGCGCGGAGGCAGAACGCCCGGCGCGGCCCTAACACACCTTGCAGGAAAGCAAGTTTCCCCTTCGGCATTTTTAAACTCTTCACATCAGGGCGCTGGTGGTGTCTCCTCCAGCTCCTTGGCCCTGTCCCCAGAGGAAGGACTGCTGACATCTGTAAGTGAGATTTCCCCCAGTTGCCCAGACTTGCTAAAGGCAGCCAACCGTCCTGCAGCGCTCAGGAGTAAAGGAGCCCACGAATAAATCCTGCCTAGAATGGAAGGAAACTTGCTCAGTCCGAGCACTGGCACACCTGGGACCTCTTGAGAACTTTAAACACATAACCAGGAACCAGAGGCAAGAGGCGTGTGCGTGTGTGTGTGCGTGTGTGTGTGTGTGAGTGATGACCGCTTCCTTAGGGTGCACAGTGCTGGACACGGAAAGACTCCTAGACACTGGGAAAAGTAGAAACTTAGCACTGAAAGGGCCTGGGGGATAATTTATTTCCACCCTCATTCTGTATATGGAAAAACTGAAGCTCCGACCGTCCAAGTGACATCCAAGTGACCATCCCAGACAGTGGCAGAACCAGGTTTCCTCACACGTCCTCTCTGGCACCCACCTCAGGCCTGGTTTATTTCTACTGGAACAATTAAATTAATGGTTGCTCTGAGTTAGTTTCTGTTGGTGAATCTGCATCTTTCTCTGAGGCTTTTTAAATGTCAGGGGAGAGAAAGAGACGGCTGTCCCCTAGGAGTAGTGCAGGGGTTCTTAGTGCCCCAGCACCCGCTCAGATAATTGGGACATAGTGGGTGCTGAATACTGACTGAAGGAAGGAATGATTGTGAGAAGTCAATTTTGTTTGCATATCCTAATCAGTAGTGATGTCTTCCCATGACCTGCCCCAGTCTACCCTCGAGGCTAAAGGGCATACATTTTTGTGTCCATTTCTTGGTATTTGAATGGTGGCAGTGGGTTGCAAGGAATTTACCTTTTCATGATCCTTTAAATATTTATTGAGAGTAAATGGATTTTGCAATTACCTTCTGGGGAAAAGCTGCTCTAAAACTGAGACTCAAAAAGGGAAAGGAACCTTCTCTTAAAGCATTTAATCCAGAGAATTCAGTTTCCCAGGTCAGAATCAAGACCTTGCCTTCTTCTGATCTCGAATCCCAAATATCAGACAAAAGGGATTTATTCCAGAGACCAAGAAATATCACTTTTTAAGTCCCAATGATAAGTGGTGTTTCATTCAGTTCTTAGGTATTCTGCAAGCTGGTAGGAGGGATTTAAGAAGTCCTTTCAGTGTTGTCATTCTTCATCTCCAGGTTGGAAGATGCTTAACTTGAATAACGCCTTTCAGGTGTCCATTCCTCTCCTCCCTTCCCTTCCTGCCACCCACATACACACACTTTAGTATGGAACCTGATTTCCCTCTGCCCCTCTCTCCCTAACACAGCAGTAGTGAGAACACGGCCGTTCTGCACTCTGGGGATTGTGTAATGTTTCAACATAAAAGCACCATGTTCTAAAATTTCCAGTGTTTGCAGTCATGCCAGAAGCAGGGCAAAGTTGATTGTTTTCAGCGACGATCTAAAGTAAGCACTTTGCCAGATAAGATTCTGTGAGCTGGGGATGTTACTGTGAAGTATCACTTGGTTCTTCTTTGGATGGGCTCAGAACCCCCTAGCAGAGACTGGAAACTGGTTCAAAGGAGAGGTTTTTATGGTGTGATAAATCCTGCAACCCGGGCATGTGCCCTGACTGGGAATCGAACCCCGATTGCCTGGATCCTAGGTCGATGCTCAACCGCTGAGCCACGCCCGGCCGGGCTCAGCAGTATTTATAGTTTTAAGTGTATAGGTATTGCACATATTTGTAAATTTTATTCCTAAGCATTATTTATATACATTTTGATCTCTTTCTAATGGTATTACTTAAAAACTTATTTTCTAATTATTTGTCATTCTCTTTTGTTTCTAATACAGAGGAACAAAACCTTATAGGTACTAATGTTGTTCTACTTTAGATTCTAATTGGTCATACATTTCTCCTCTCTTAGCCTGTAGGTGACTACCCGTAGTCTTCACTCCTCATGTATAGGTACAAATAGTTGTATATAATTGGTACTCAATAAAAGTTTTTTGAATGAAGATATTACTTTCAAGATCAAGTTCATTTTGGATTAGTTCTCAAAAGACCATTATAAACTACTGAGAATTTAAAAATCTTGGGACTCTCTTAGCTTGAGCTATATCTGAAAAGCAGAGTGAAATGATTTGACAATTACTTGACTGATTAGAAAAATGTGGACATTTTTCTACACTTGATTGGCATCCAAATTATCCATTGTTCTCTTAACAAGATAAATGTCAAATCACATCCTTGCTTGTGTTATCTCAGGAGAGAAGCCTAGAAAAAGAGAAAAAGGAGAGGTAGTGACTGATTCTAAAGTAATAATATTGCGCACAGATCTAGAACGTAGGGCGCTGTTGCCACTCAGGACGATTACAGCAATCACAGAGCAACAGAATCCCGAGGTTGCAAGGAACCTTAGAGGCAGAAGGGGCCCAGGAATTAGAAGTACAGTTGGATCAGATGAGGTATGGCTTCCTCTCTAATCTTGAGTTTCCTTGGTTATTGGACTGGATTATAGATTTATCTTATTTTAAAAAAATCCATAACCTA